TTAGCTAGTTAGAGACTCACCAGGGGAGCTCACTTCATGACAGAGTAAATAGATATTTTCGCCTACCTAGAGGGAAACCCCAACAAGTTGTTCCATCTTGGAGAGCCAAGATAGCTAGAGCCAGGCTCTGTGGGGAGGATGGCCTGGTTAGAATCCATTGCTTCTCCTGCTGGTGACATATCAGGTTCTGGAACAGGTGGCTGAAAGTTTGGCTTAACCCTTTAATGAAGGAGTGACTCAGTCTTCTTGTCTGTAAAATGGGGCTTACCCTCACCCAGAACTAACTGTGGACACACAGGCAGGGCTGGTGCTCCTACCCCTATGCTGAGCCTTTCTGAGCCCCATGGTGTCACAGGTATTGCCCCACATGAACGAGGCCTGCTTTTGTAATTCCAGTCATGCCACCTTCCCTGAGTCCTTGTCTCCCTCACCTCCCGTTTAAGGGCCAGCTCAGCTCTTTGATGGCTTTGGAAGGGAGAAGGAGACTGGGCTCTTTTCAGCTATTTCAGCAAAACGCAGGCCAGGCTCCTCAGGCAGGGAAGGTGATGGATGAGCTACGTGTCCCCCCACTGCCACAGACATCAGCTAAGGGCTGCCTTCCCCTTCAGCGAGGCACTTTCCTACTGCAGAGTGAAGGTGCCCAGACTCTGCGCTGTGTAGTATGAATCATGGCTCTAGGCGCCCGTAAGTCATGGGCGTAATCGGTGTGAAATGCCAAGTCCGACAGCCCAGAGCAATGTTCAGCCCTCCGTCATCTTTACAGCCTCAGAGATGGGGGAGGCAAGCCGTCTCCACGGCTATGCTTTCCCTCAATGGCTGCCTGCCTAAGCAGCCTAGAGCCAGAGGTACCAGAAAGACTGGCGGGGCTCTGGAGCCTGACCTTCAACACAGTGACTTTACTCACAGACAGGGAACCTGAGGCTCGTGGGTCAGTACCTTGCCCAGGGACATGTCCAGACCCACAGACCCTGCTTTCCTCTAAGCTGTCCTGATCTTTCTCCAGGGAAGCCATCTGCACCCGGTGCTGCTTCTGTTGCAACAGGCCTCACTAGGGTGACCAGGGTGTTGTTATGACTACCCGTTGAGGCCTATGACATCTCCACCAGCTCCCCAAACCTTTAAGAACTTTCTGTGTCTCTTTCCTAGACAAATGAGAAGACAGAGGCTCGGAGATCTAAGGTTAGGTAACAAGGCCCCTGGAGAACGTAGGGGTAACGTGGGCTACTGAGATCATATGCTTTAAGCCAAAGCAAGTCTCCAGAACTACCTCTCTTCTGAATTTGGGTGATAGCAAGGATCTGAGTGTGAGCCATTCCCAACTCACTGGGTATAATGCTTTCCCTTGCTGGGTTTGGGTATCCCATGAGCAGAGGACTCTCCCACCTCCCAGAAGCCAGGGCGTTTAGAAAGGACCAAAGGCTAAGGGGTGCTACTCTTTAACAGTGTGGAGAGGGTCTTGAGTACAAGGATGTCCCCAGGTCAGGGATAAAGTCTTTAGTGAGCTGGTCCTGAAATAATCCTGGGCAGTGCTCTCTGGTAGCCCATAGTCTCAGGTGGCTACTTAATTTTTGTTCAGATTAATTTAAAAAAATGATAAGCACCAGGGCTAAGGATGTAGCTCGGTTGGTAGAACACTCACCTTAACATGCACAAGCCCTGGCTTCTATCCCCAGAGCCACATTAAATTGGGCACGGTTACATGAATACACGTGCCATCCCAGTGCTTGGGAAGTGGAGGCAGGAGGATCGGAAATTCAAGGTCAATCTTGGCTACACAACAGAGTTCAAGACCAGCTTGGTCTACAAGATACTTTGTCTCAAAGCTGAGACGGAAGCTGGCCAGGGACAGAACTCTGCAAGCATAAGGGCCTGAGTTCAAACCCTGGAACCCATGCGAGGTGTGTTTATAATCCTAGCCCTGGGTATGGGGCAGGGGACAGGAGGATCCCTGAGGCTTGCTGCCTCGTCAGCCTAACCTAACCCAGGAGAGGGCTTGTCTCAGAAAATGATGGACAACTGAAGAACAAAACCCAAGGTTGACCTCTGGTCTCTATCCTCTTGTATGTGTATGCTCATGTGTGCATATACAGAAACACCACACACACACACCAGTGTAAAGTATTTACGGTTCCCTTTTTGGTGCCATTCTTTGGTGTCAAGGTTTAGCAACAGTGCGTAACTCATGGTTGCCACATTTGATGGGGCATCCACAGAGCATCCTATCATTGTGGGGAGCTGCTTGGGACCGTGGCACCAAGTGAACTCCGGAGGGCCACCATGGGTTGAAAATCCCAAGCTTCTCTCCAGGTACCCAGAAGTAAGTCAGTTATCAGTGGCTCTGGACAGAGCCACCTACACAGCTGCAGGGATCTCCTGTGGGACACTTGAGGCAGGACCTGCCTTTGGAGCTACAGGGCACCCACTACCTGTGATGCAGAAGGTGGAGACTCCTCACCCAGTGCAGAACCAGTGGCATCCACATTCTGTAGTGACCTCCAAGGTGCTTCCATGAGCTTGCATACAGAGGCTCCTGGACTCGCCAGCCGTCCAAAGCTCCCTGAGGTGATTACCACTACAGCTTGCTTATCAGTGGGCACCCATACTAAGAACCTGGGCACCCATACAAAGTGCCTACTCACAGGTATGGCACCATTCGGTCTTCAGTGAAAGAAGCTGCAAGTCTCAGTGCCCCAGCAACCCAAGCTTGGTGTTTAGATGCTCAGCAAGTCTACATAGGGGGCTACTTTATTGAAGACTGCAGGGAGAATAAGAAAGAAAGTGTGTGTGTGGAGGGGGACTAAAGGCAGAAGAGGGCCACATGCTGGGGCATTCAGGGCTATTTGACCTGACTGAATCCACAACTGGCTAGGAGTGACTGGGCCAGCGGGAAGTCAGGGAACACGCTGGCCATTTTGCAGCTTGACAGGATGGTCACCTGATGAATGAGTGTGACAGCTTAAGCCAGCCACCCTTGGATGCCCTTCACATATGCCCACCACAGTCTGCCTCTTACCCGCCACAAGAGCAGCCTGGTTCCCTCTGCCCACACAGTTTGGCCCTGGAGGAACTCAAAAAACCTCAGTTCCATCTGTGAGCTTTTTCCAGCTCACTTCCCAGAGACCCAGAATGGCTTGCCAGCCCACTCTACCCTACCCTGGTCTTGGCAATCCTTCTGGCCTCTGAGTCCCCATGAGGTGGAGGTAAGATGAATGGATAGGCTCAGCCAGGCTGGCTAGAGCTCCAGGGGGCTTGGTGGGTCCTCCGGGCAGTCTCAAAGCTGAGGCAGAGTGAGACAGCCCCATCTATCAGCCCCCCTCTGCAGGTTGGGTGGTTGAGATACCACCAGGGTGTGGAGCATGCTGGCCAAGCCTACCTCCAGACTGTGACACACGAGCAGCTTGCTGTCCACCCCGTCTGTGTGTCCCTCCTCTCCTTTGCCCAGTGTTTCTGCTGTCTTCCACACAGGCTAAAGAGACATGGCCCTGTGCAAGCACGGTGCATGGGAGGCCTCTGGGATGTGTGGGAGAGAAGAAGCTGGAAGTGACCTGGACATTTTGACACTAGGGCCTCAGTCCTTACCAGGGAAATGAGCATCCCACCCTGCCAGGGGTCCTTCCCCGTCTCCTACTGGAAGGCATGTGGTGTGGTACCACTGGTCTTGCTCTAATGCAAGCATTTTCTCTCTACGTGTGTGAACTTTTATGTGTGGGTATGCAAGCATATGTACCCATACATGCAGAAACCAGAAGTTAATGTCATCTGCCTTCCTGCCACCTTCATCCTTATTGCTTTGGATGGGGTGTCTCAGTAAACCCGAGTCTCACTGACTGGTAGGCTGGGTGGTCAGCAAGCTCTGGGGATCCGCCAAGTCCTCCCTCACGCCCAGGGCTAGAGTTACAAAGCTGTGCCACCACACCTGGGCTTTACTTGGGTCCTAGGGATCTAAACTTAGGCCCTCAAGCTTATATACCAAGCACCTTACCCACGGGTCATCTCTCCAGCCCTGGTGAAAACATTGCTCAGTGTAACAGAGACCAGGATGGGGCAGCAAGCAAGCCTTAAGATAGCTGGCAAAAGGGGGCCTGTCCCCCTGTCCTCTGCAGGGACAGCTCTACCCAGAAACCTCTGAACCCCAATACCTTGCCTCACTGGGGCTTCTAAGGGTACTGAGACCTTGGTCCTCTCCCTCCACTACAAGCTACACTCTGCTCTCCACACTTGGGGCATTTTCACATCAGGTTTCCAGTGATTTCTGATAGGCAACGCTCAGTCACTGTGGGAGCCATGTGCTTGATTTTCCAGAAAAACAAAAAGTTGGGTGGTTTTTTTTTTTAATATAGCGACGGAATGCACATCTAGATTGGCAGTGCCGGAAGCCGGGCTGAGGTCTCTGCGATCCATTCAGGATGGGGTGCCCTGGGACTTTCCAGATGAACTTGGGAGGTGATTCTTGACAGCTGCTCTTGCTCAGGGACCCAGCATCCTTCCAAGGACTGTGCATGGGGGAGGCAGGCAGGCATGGGAAAGGCATGCAAAGTCTGGGAAAACCCAGTTAGGCTGGGAAAGCACTCAGACCTCCCTTGTCCTGAGCTATCCCCAAGGACGGGTTGGGAGCTGCATCGGCCCAACTTGGTGGGGGGCGGGGTGTCTTGGCCAGAACACAGAATTGGGGGCCAGGAAGCTGGGCAATCTGGGCAGCTGCCTTCCCTCTTCTTTCCTCCTTTCTCCTTCTCCCCTCCCCTCCCTGCTCCACTTACCTCTCCCCACGTCTTCCCCATTCTCCCCTCCTCCCTCTTCCCCTTCCTTTCTCCTCCCCTCTCCTCTCTTCTTTCCTCTGGCTCCACAAAACCCATGTCATCCAAGAGCCAACCCTGTGGTCCCGAGAGACCACAGGTGTTCCTTCAGCCATCCAGAGGTTCCTCCATACTCTCCCGCCTCCAGCCCTTCCCCAGACTCAGGAGACCAGATCCGCTTCTGAAAGGCCAACTATACCCCACACATCTTTCCATGGTTTCAATTTTATTAGCTTGACCTTTTCCAGCTCAGTGTGTGGTATATGAGCCTGTGAAGATTCAGAGCCCACCCAGGACAACCGTGCCCAATTCTCCCCTCTGCTGCCTTCTTTGGGTTTAGGAGAGCCCAGCTCCATACTGCCCTAGCCTTTGCCCCCTGCTCTCCTAGACTACAAGGCATGCTGACCTTTGTTTAGGCGGTCACAGAATCCTAGTTTCTAAGTCAGGGTGTGAGGCAGAAGAGGAAGGCTGGGTCTATTAAAAAGTGACAGATGTTCACCCCAGGAAGAGAAACAGGGTCACTCCTGACACGCGGGCAGGTGTAGCTGGTCACACAAGGCGAGAGGAGTCGCTCTGACTTCCAGGGCAGAGCTAGAGCCGCGCCCTCTCCGGAGGCGGGGTGAGAAGGATGCATCTGTAAGGCAAAAGTCCTTAGAAATGAGCCTTGCAGAAGGTCTGTGCATAACCGCAAGCGTGGTGTCCCTGGACCTATGAGCAATGGCTTCAGGGGAAACTGAGACAGAAGTCTGTACTTCTGTGTAAGTGATGGAGGTTCCTGATCTGAATCCCATGCCATGTGCCCCCATGTCACGGGCTGGTGACTCTCGGACGGGTTTTCTCTCCTGCAGACCTGGAAGCTTAAGGCAAGAACTTTCTAATACCCACTCCTCTCTGGTCTGAAAGGCAGCTATCCTGAGGAAGGACTGCCCCAGTCCAGCAAATATCTCTGCTCTCCATCCTACACCCGTGGCAGACATTGCTCATCAACTCCTGCTTATTATGGAACAGGAGGGGAGGCTTCTGACTTCTGGCTCCTATCTTGGGGGTATTCTGAGATACTCATGGGGATCCTGAGCTAAGATAGCTGCAGGGTACATTTTGGGGAGGACTAGGTGGATTGGAGACCACTGTGTGGTCTGTGAGCAGGAGCAACATCGTGGTCCATCCAGTCCTGGTTAGGAGCTGGGATGGCTAGCAGGACCAAATGGAGGCTAAGGGTAGGGAAAGCTATGTTTTGCCCATGTCCTGGGTCTCAAGACACAGGGCCATTTGTGCAGTGCGGGAGTTGGCAGGCAGCGCTGAGGTGTAGCAGCTTCCGATGGCCTGAGCAGCGGTAGCCTCCACCCTGCAGCTCAGTAGATGCCCTTCACCCTCTTGTTGTCAGGGTCAAAGGGAGACTTCAGGTGAACCTGGGCGGGATAGGTGACCCCCATTCTCTCCAAGGCATACTCCCCACTCTTCACAAAGTCCAGAGAGACCTAGGAGCAGAGGGAAGTCAGGGTCACTCAGTTGTTTCTGGAGGTGGTTTAGGGTCCCCCGGTCCTAACTCTCTGATAAGCCAACGCTTGTACCAAGCCCTTTCTCTGAGATGGGTTCCCTAGAACAGCGGATCATGTGTCCTGTGCCCATGAGCCAAACAGGAATAGCTGAGTCCATCAAAGCTCAGACCCAGTAGCCAGCAAGACCTCTCCCTCAGCATGATCTGTTCCCGTGACCTGTTCCAAGATCCCTGGGAAGTTGGGGGTCAGGCAGGAGCTTAGATGGATTTCAGAGTCAGACAAACACAGCATTATTATAGAGCAGGGGTCCTTGTTATCCTGAGGGATAGGGTGGATGGAACAGCTTTTTGGACAGCGTGGCCCCTGTACCCTCTTCCCTCTGACCCACATCTGGCTCCCTCTTCTTAGCAATCCCTCTGGAGCTGTTGGCCCTGGGAGCAGGTGCTAGCCTGTCCGACAGGGCAGAGTGCTGTAACTTGACACTCTACTGTTCTGGAGGGAGGAACACTCTTAGGCCACCCAAGGACATGCTTCTTTGTGTACAGTGAGGATTCCAGGCCCAGGCTGGAGCGGTCTGGGGCTTGATCTCCCCTCATTCCAGGTGGCTCAGGACTGGATTAAAAAGAGAAAAGGAAAGAAAAGAAGAGGAGAGGAGAGGAGAGGAGAGGAGAGGAGAGGAGAGGAGAGGAGAGGAGAGGAGAGGAAAGAAAATAAAAGAAAAAAAAAGAAAGGCAACAAACCTTTTTAAGCCGCGGGATGTTTAGGGCGAGCCCTCTGCACCAAGCACTATGTGACTATCAGGTTGGTAGATTTCAGCAGAGGAAAGGCAGGTGTTCTGGGACTAGCCCAGTCCAGCTGATAAACACCCACGAACCACAGAATTTCCACCCCCAAACTCCGTAGTCTTCCTTAGAAATGTGGGCTATCCCACCAGAACACTGATGGAGGGAGAGAGGGTGGTTTGCCCATCTGCCCATTCTCATAGCATGAATATTCAAGAAGCCATGGGACATGAGCCTCTCCTTCCTTTGCTCATTTTCAGGGTGGGACTTCTTGTCTGGATGGGTTTATGCTGGGCCTCCTGAAGTCCAGTGAAAGGGTAGGAGGGGTGGGAGGCGCTGATCTTTGAAAGAAAAGGCTGTGGGTTCTTCCCTGTCCACCAAGTCTGGGCACCAGTAAATGAACATCTAATTTTGCCTTGCCCTGGTTGTGGACTCTCCGTGTTAAGAAAGTCCTGTGTAATCACCAAAGATCTCAGGCTGCTTTGCAATGTTTAATGACTGTCAATTAATTTCCACTCAATGTGGTTGTCCATACTAGAGTCCTGTGAGGAGGGTGGAAGCCTGTGCCCTTTTTATAGGAAAGTTTGGGATCTTGGAGAAACCCCTGGTCTGTGGTCTCGGAGCAAGACAAAGCCACAGCCTCGAGTTAAGCCTGTATCACAAGCCTCCCACTCTAGTACAGGGTTCCTCTCAACTTTCAGGCACCCCACCCCACCCTAACCTGTACTTCAGAAGTCTGGGTAACCCCAGACTCCATGGGAGCCACTTGTCCTTGCCTCTTCCCAAGCCTGATGCTCCCGCCCTACATTCAGCCAGACACTGTAGCCCAGCTTGTCTTGGTGTCTGGCTAGAAGGCAGAGCCAGGTCAGCTCTGGGGCTGGAGCTGGGGCATAGGAGACCTCAGTGAGACTCGTGCAAAGGTATGCTTAGGTGATGTGAAAGTAAATGGTGCTACTCGTTACACCTCTACACCACTGTTGGGTAACAGGAAGTGGTAAAGGCCACCCCTTTCCTCCTGGGGACATAGCTGGTACCCTCCTGTGACTGTCTGGGCTGCCCCAGCATCTGCAACCTGGGTTTGGCTCACTTGTTGGGGTTGAGGTGACTGTGGGTGAGAAGAAAGGGCAGAGATGGTCCACTAGCCTCTGGGACTAGAGAATGCTATCCCAGACCCTGCAAGTCTTTTTGATCAAGAAGCTCCTGGGGCTGCCCTAGTCAGCTTCTTTTAGAGATAAAAGACAAAACCCGGCAAAATTTGGCTGAAGACCAGGACTGGCACGCCTCCACCCTTCCTGGCTTCCTTCTGTGTTCCCAGCATGTTCAGGTATGGTCCTGAGGATCTAGAAAGGGACAGGGAACAGAGCTCACCGGCCCACCACTGGGATCTCGGATGTAGCCATAGGCGATGGTTTTGTTCACGGCGAACCCAAAGTCAGCCCTCCGGACATGGCCCACCACTTGGCCATTTCTCCAGATGGCCTCCAGGCCAAACATAGGCACCTCCCTGAAAGAAGCAAAAAGATGGCTGGACCCCCAGACTGTGGTGGGAACACAGCCTGGGGAAGCGAGGCAGCTGGACAGTACCTACAAGAGCCCACATGGGTACCCTACATGGGTATAAGTACCCTGCCAGGACCTTGCAAGCCCCCAGTAGCCCGACTCCTGACCTAGAAAGACAGGGGGCTGGATGGAAGTGAATGAGGGAATGAAATTTAACTGTAAAGCCGACCAGAGCCCCAGCACTTCAGAAAGGCCCCACTTCATCCCTTTTCACTTAACTTCCTTCTTAAAAGTCTACGTTAATTATAGAAAATAATGGGGAGGGGCTGGAGAGATGGCTCAGCGCTTAAGAGCATTTGTTGCTCTTGTAGCGGACCTTAGTTCCGTTCTTGGCCACCATGCCAGGTATTCACCACCTCCAGGGGATCCTGTGCCCTCCTCTGACCTCTGTGGACACCCGTGCACATATAACACCCACTCACACAGACAAACACACGTGCATCCATATAATAAAAACTTTTAAAGAAAAAAATACTCTATTGTGAAATCATCGTGCATGTACATTTTTGCTCTGTACACATCCACCCGCTCTTGTCCCCTCTTTCTACCCATAGTCCCTCCCCTTCTACTTTCATGTCTCTCTCTCTCTCTCTCTCTCTCTCTCTTTCTCTCTCTCACACACACACACACACACACACACACATGTACACACACATAAAGTTTTTTAAATAATACATAAAACAACCCCCCCATAAAAATACAATTCCACTCTTATCTCTGGGTAAATAATGGGTCAATCATACACCACCGTGTATGTACCACATTTTCCTAAAATTCATCCATTGGACTGTGCATGGTGGTGCACACCTTTAATTCCAGAACTCAGGAGGCAGAGGCAGGCAGACCAATATGGATCCAAGGCTAGTCTGGTCTACACAGCGAGTTTCTGGCTAGCCAAGCCTACATAGTGAAGCCTTGCCTCAAAAAAATAAATAAAATAATAAAATACATTCCATCCATTGGTGGGCATCTGGGCTGGTTGTGTATTTTAGTTCTTACGAACCCTGTTGTCGTAACCATGGCTGTGCTTCTGTGACATGCTGACTCAGAGCCCTTTGGTATACACCAGGAGGGCATAGCTGACTCATATGAAAGTCCCTTGGCCACGGTGGCTAGAATGACTTACATTACCAGCAGTAGGGGATAAAGGTTCCTCTTTCCCTGAATCCACACCAGCATTTTCTGCCGTTCCTTCCCTCGGTGTCAGCCTCTCCAACTGGGGCAAGCTGGGATCTCACCATAGCTCTGGTGCGCATTTCCCTCATAGCTGAAGACACTGAGCAATCTTCCATAAGCTGACCGGCCGTTTGCATTTCTCTTCTCTTCCAAATGTCTGTTCAGCTCGTTGCCCGCTTACTCCCTGGGTTATTTGTGGGGTTGTTGTTTAATTTTGTGGCTGTTCTCTGCATATTCCAACGATTCATCCCCTGACAAATAGATTTCTCCCATTCGGCAGGCTGCTTCTTCACTCTGGTGATTGTTCCCTGGGCTGTGGAGAATCACTTTTACTTCATGAGATCCCATCCTTCAGTTCACACTGACTTCCTTAGCTCTGGAGGCTCACTCCGAAAGGCCTTGCCTCATTTGTGTCTTGAAGCGCATTCCCTCAGGGTTCCTCTTGAAGTCTCAGTGGTTCAGGAGATTTGGATCTCGTCCACTTTGGGATTGTCTTCACGTGGGATGAAAAACAGGGGTCTAGTTCACACTTCTGTATGTGGATATCCATGGTTGCTAGCACCATTATGAGAGACTACTTCTCTCTAACATGGTTTTGGAGCCACTGTGAGGGTTGTGTGGTTTGCTTCTGGGCCCTCTATCTGTTTCATGGGTCTACACGTCTGTGTTTGAGCCAGGACCATGCTGGTTTTGTCACTACAGCTCTGCAATGTAATTTGAGGTCGGGTTTGATGCTGTCTCCCTCCTTTGCCCAGGGTTTGCTTTGGTTGTTCTGTGTCTTTTGCCTCCATATAAATTTCAGGATTTTTTTTCTAGTTCAATGAAGAATTCCATTAGAATTTTGATAGAGAGTATGCTGAATCTGGTTTATTTAACTGTCAAGTGGGCTTATTTTTTTAAATTATTTATTTATTACATATACAGTGTTCTGCTTTCATGTATGCTTGGAGGCTGGAAGAAGGCACCAGATCTCATCATGGATAGTTGTGTGCTGCCACCATGTGGTTGCTGGGAATTGAACTCAGGACCTCTGGAAGAGCAGTCAGTGCTCTTAACCTCTGAGCCATCTCTCCAGCCCAAGTGGGCTTATTTTACAGTCTTCTTGTTATCTACTTTTTTGTTTTTTGAGACAGAGTTTCTCTGTAGCTTTGGAGCTTGTCCTGGAACTAGCTCTTGTAGACCAGGCTGGCCTTGAACTCACAGAGATCCACCTGCCTCTGCCTCCCAAGTGCTGGGAGGCGTGTGCCACCACCACCCAGCCTTGGTTATCTACTTTTTATACTAAAGGATTTTCTTTATCAACGTACTATATTGATACTAATGTTTTTGATTCAAGATCCAAAATGGTAGACAAAAAGAAAAAGAAACCCACTAAAATCTAGAAACGTCAATGCCGGGATCATGGTACCATTTGGTGCCATCTGTGGACTGCTCCTCTGGGCTGTCATCAGAGCCACAGTAGCATGAAACCTTCCCAGAATGACAAGAGTCAGGCCAGGTTTGGACGCCCTCTTAGGCCTGCAGCTTAGAGCCACACCGTCTGGGATGGGGGCCAGGATGAAGGAAGGCTGGGGAACACCTCCTCCTCCGCATCCTCTCCAGTTACTCTCCATGGGACAAAGTGGTATCCTGGCGGCTCCCAACGCACCCAAGTCCTCTCAAAGCAGCAGGCACACATCATCGTGTGCCTTGCAGCCAAGAGATGCAGGGACAGGAAGGAAGTCCCTGAGCAGGACAGGTGTCGATCCTCTGCTCTGGAGCTAAACACCGGCCTCAGAAGCTTTGTAGAGGCTGTGGGGAGGGTATGACAGTTCCACCCCACCTGAGAGGCCCCTACCACCCAAGCTGGGCAGCCTCAGGGGAGTAGGTGACATCTCAGGGAAAGGCCACAGTATGATGACAAACCCTAGCGCTGCCCATTGCCTCTTATCACACTTGACGCTCCGAGCACAGTGACAGCATCTGTGGCTGGCTGTCAGCTGCACAGCAACGCCCAAAGCCACCTCCCCGTCCTGGAAACAGTTGCTATGAGAATTCCTATGGGAACCACCGTGTAGAACCCAGGCCTTCAGGATTCAAACTCTCCCGGTGACTCGGAGCACTTGAGCCTCGCTACCGGCGACATGTTCCAAGCCGTTTCTTGGTGACCAGACTGGAGGGTCGAGTTCCTCAGAATGGATTTCTCCTTTCTCCTCTGCTGTTTGACTGGGTCTGAGTCCATGTCTCTGACATGGTCCTCATTTATACATGGAGAACAAGTCTGACTAGTTGGGATTTAACTGGAACAGGCTGGGAGGTGGTTTCAAAGAGACAGGGGCACCAGCTTGTAAGTAGGGTTCACACTCCCAAGTCACCAGGCCTGGCTCTACTCACCACAGTTCGGCTGTGGCACCTTTCCCTTTTAAATGCCTTCATTAGAGAGTGTTATGCTTTATGTCCCCGGGGCCCTGCTGGCACCCCTACCTCTGACCCACTCCTGGCCCACTCAGAATTTATATACCAGTTCTGCTGTAGATTGCTGTTTTGTAGATCTGGATCTCCTGGACCTCACTTTTCCCATCTGTAATGGACCGTCATAAAAGGGAGGCTGACCTGAGGAAACGCCAGTCCCAGGAGCTATCACTGGAAATGGTTAAGTACCACCTCGCCAGCATGGACGATCACCCGACGGGCCAGAATACTCACTCGTCCACAGTGAGGCATACCAGGCGTCGGTAGAGGCCCGTGGCACGCTGCTTCTCCAAGGCTTCACGGCCGAGGAAGGGCACTGAGGACTTGAGCTTACAGGTGAAGGCCAATCCTGCCTCCAGGGGGCTGTCGTCAGGCCTCAGGTCTGCATGCCAGTGTCGATAGCCTGTGGAACAAGGGGGATGCGGGCGAGTGTCCAGATGAGGTGGGCAACAAGTCTTTAGGAAATACATGTGGGTGCTTTCCAAACCCACACTATCCAGTCCCCAAATCTCCACCTTCACTGTCACTTAGCCAGCCGGGCAGCCAGGAAGATGGGGTAGAATCCTGGGCTTCAGAAGGCTCCCTATATGATCTCCTAGAGAAGACTAGTTCCTTGAGCTTTCCAGTTCCTTGTACCATCAGGATGGGGTGCTTGGTGGACCCGGAAAGTGGAGTGAATCACTCTTGGGGAAGGGCAGATCCCATTCTAAACTATCACCTTTTAAAGAAGGTGAGGTAGCCACCAGTCAGCAGCCCAACCTGCTCGGAGTCTTCACCTCTCGGGAGATATCTGGGTGTCGCTAGTAGTACAATCCCCACAAAGGCAAACATGAAGCCCTGGGTTCAATCTCCAGCACCAAATTCTTTAAAAACTCAAACAACAACAAAAAAAACACCTCTCAAGGACCCCACAGTGTGTAATTCAACCCCTCCCCACTGAGACCTACTCCCTCAGGATTCTAGGTAGTGCCTCAACCTCTCTGAGTCCAGGTGTGTGCAGGAATTGGGGACCCCAGAATCACTTCTGAGGCCCTGATTGGGAGACCCCATGCATAAGCAGTGTGGAGGGTTTGAGAAAATATACAAGGCTGGGAGAGAGAGGGATTCATGATGTGAAAATCTGGACACCAATGACAGAAACATCCCCAACTTCTTTCTGGTAGCTTGGGTGGCCTCCCAGGACTCACCTTTCTCAATGCTCAGGGAGTCAATGGCACGGTAGCCTGCATTGACCAGGCCATGCTTGGCCCCTGCAGCCATCACAGCCCGGTACACTGGTAAGCAGGATGTACGGGGGACATGCAGCTCCCAGCCCAGTTCCCCCACAAAGGATAGCCGTATGGCCCGGACCTGGGGAGACAAGGGTGTGAATCAGATATAGCTGCCTCAGGCTGATGAGGTCCAGGCAGACTGCCACCTATCAGCAGGCCTAGGCCTGGCCAGATTGTCAACAAGAAGTGGGTGCTTTGTTTTGTTTTGTTTTGTTTTGTTTTGTTTTGTTTTTGGAAAGCTCACACAAGCTGATCTAGGAATTTTGGAGCGAAAGAAGAAGATTCAACTTAGAGAACAGGAGACAAACTCCACCGCCAGGTCTCACACCTCAGGAGTGACCGACCGGCTGGTTCCCTACGGTCAAGCAAGTGGCCAGAAGCTGAGCAGCTCAAACCGATGGAAACGATCTCCATGTCTCTTCTGGGGGTTCACAGCCTCAAATCAAGGCACGGCAGAGCCACGCCTGGAGACTCAGGCTTTCCTGTCTTCTCCCAAAGCAATGCAGTCAAGTAATGCTTTGACTGTATCTGCCACACTCAGCGTCTGCCGCCTCCTCCAGCTGCCAATCTCTGGGTCGTTCCTGCCTCTTACCAGGACTTTGAAGAATCACATCCCGACTCCCGACAGTTGACACGGACCATCAACATGAAAGGGTGTAGAGTCACCTAGGAGACGAACCTCTGGCCATGCTTGAAGGAGGCTCTAGACTGAGTTAGTGAGAAAGTGAGCTGGTGCCCACACCCATCCCTCTCTCTGCTCCTGACCATGGATCTACTATGACAGCTGCCCCAAGTTCCTACCATCCTACCTTCCCCGCCATGACGAATCTGACCCTCAAATTGTGAGCCCAAATAAACCCTTCCATTCTCCTTTTTGTGGTTTGCTTTTGGTTTTCAAGATGGTTTCTCAGTGTAGCCCTGGCTGCCCTGGTACTCACTCTGTAGACCAGGCTAGCCTTGAACTCACAGAGATCCACCTGCCTCTTCCTCCTGAGTGCTGGGATTAAAGTCATGTGCCATCACCACTTGGCAGCCCTTCTCTCTTCAGGAAGCTTTCGTCGGGTGTTTTGTGACGGCAATAAGATGGTGACTATATACACAGCCTCAGTCAGTCCCATCTGCCAGGACCTTA